GTCATATACAGTGCACCAAGACCCTGTAATTCTGAGGCCCTTCCAATGCGGGACCTTTTTTTCAAATTTCCAACTAACAATTCTCAATCTTTTTACCTTCTCAAAGGTGGTCTTAAGGTGGAATAAGAGGTGAAATGTACTTGATAAAGGCTATGTTAAAACATGAGCTATGCTAGTTAACGTTAATCGCGTGCTGTTAAAGTGCGCAGTCTAGTGAACGCCAGTGTTAACAAGCAATCATTGGCATATGATAATCTACCAACAGACCCCAGATTAGCGTGCACCACTGCGTTACGACACATACATCAATGATTTTTAATGCTGGCTTGGATTTTACCAATCACAAAACAAGTCTAGGCTGAAAAATATTACAGATTCTGTATTTCGTGCAAATACTTACAGTAGCGTTGCGTTAATCGTACAATGTGCTCATCTTGCTATTCCTAGTAAACCACTGATTAAGATAAGAATGGCATTAGTTAAAAGAGAATAGAGAACCACATAGCAGTTGACTAAGCCAAGTATCCTAGATTCTGGCAATAGTCAGCACTTTATTATAAAAATGTGTGTAATCTTTAATTCCTGTCTTTATTACAAACTACTAACATTTTTTTGTTGAACAATGATTAAATAATATGTATAAAACAAAAACCATCAGCACAAAACTGGGAGAATTGAGAATTATATTAAACAAAATAATTGGATCAATCATTATAGTATAAACCGTATTAATTTAACAATCTTATAATAACATACATAACAACTTTTGCAAGCTTTCTTATCCATCCACTTCTCATAGATAACTAAATTATTACTGCTTTGTTGAGAATAACATAACAAATTATCAAATAATAATAGTGCATTTATATTATATGGCTAATTTCTATTATACAGTATATAAAAGGTGCCTGTTTGTAAATAGTATGCTTGTCAAAATGGCTGGAAATTGCACTCTCAAATTTAAATTGGAATGTGTTTTTCTTTTTTCTCCATGTTTTTAATTTGAATTTTAATCTGCTTACTGTATGTTAATTTTTTTGCTCAGAATATGGACAACACACCCAAGCGTGAACTGGAAGCGAAGTTACGTGATCATAAAGAAAAGTTGTTAAGTGAACAAAAGGAAGCAGAGGGGTGTTTACTGGAACAGCAGAAACAGGCACAGAGATTAGAATTGCGCATGTATCAAAGACGACAGCTCCGGATAAGACACACATTAGAACAAGATCAGCTACGTGAGGTATGTGCACATTCATCTAGGGGTCCTGAGTTGGAAGAATCCACATCTGGGAGATTTGTTTAAATGATCTTTCTTAACACATCAATTTTTTTTTGCTGCGGATGGGAATACCCATTGGCACTGACTTCAGGGAGACAATTCATAATAGACACAAAATTTATATTTAGGCCAACGTGTAACACTGACTTACCTTGGCATTTAAAAGTAGATTTGTGATTTGTAATATCAATGTACCCACAATATTCTGATATTTATTTGGAGAAGTGATAAAATATTGATGCATCTTTAGCCTATCCCTGTCCCCCTAGGTCACAGCGTACGATCATGAAATATAATTTTTTTTATAAACACACAAACACACACACATAGAATTAATTGACACATGGGCCCACCTAATGTAAATTTTTTCCTGGATCTGCACCTGTACCTGTATTATAGATATTGTAATGTATATTAACTAACAATATAAACCATAGCCCTGGCACAGGTCTGGTTAATTAATTCTTCCCGTTTAAAGTTAAAGGATGCATGTCTCTGTAAATTAAAATTGAATTTATTTTTGTTTTGAAGGAGTTAAACAAGAAGCAAGTTGTTCAAGAGATGGAGCATGTTATGTTACAGCGTCACCATGAGTTGACACAGGACCTTGAATATCGTCACATTCATCACATTCAAAGTTTACGAACAGAACAGATGCAAAAACAATTCCATACAGAATTGACGAATCAACATGAATATGAACGTCAAGCTGAGAGGGAATTGAGGAAAAAGCATGGAATGGAGATGAAACAACAACCCAAGAACCTCAAGGTCAGTAAACTCCCACACTATTTGTTTTAGTAAATACTGAATCATATATTTCTTTGGGGTGATTTTACCTATCTGACGTGTTATCGAATACTCAAAAAAATCTGTAAGTGATTCAGGTAGGAATCGAACCCATGACCTCCAGATAACTAGCCTGGCACCATAACAACTAGACTACCGAGCTTGAGCTTAGTGGCTAGTTTTGAATCTGATTCCCAAGTAGCAGCGGGTACTGCAAATGCAAACTTTTAAGACATAGCTTTCAGGCTTTTGCTTCCAATCTTCAAAATTATTTCGTTTTACAAAATATGTTAAAAGTCGATAATTCAGAGGCTTTGATTTTTTGTGCTGGGTTTTTTTTTTTAGGCAAAAGAGCAATCTATAAAAAAGCAATTTCATGAAGCGTGTAAAACTCAGTCAAAGCAGTACAAGGCATTAAGGGGGCAAACACTAGCAAATACTCCGAAAGAACAACAGAAAGCGGTTGAAAAGAAATTAAAGGAAGAAGAGAGAAGAAAAATGGCAATCTTAGGAGACCAGTATAGTCAGAGTATAGCTGAAATGCTTCAATCTCAATCAGTAAGTAATAAATATGAATTTATTACAACCTTATGAACCTTGGGCAATGTTATTATGACCATTATCATCTTTCAAGAAAGTATAATACATACTCCAAGTATTGAAGTACACGCCATCGTGTTGGGATTCAATATTTCGACATTAATTATGTCATCATCAGGAATGATCTTTCATCATCATTATTGTTCACCATGTCACTGTCATCATCATCGTCGTCATTATTGTCACTATTATTCTCATTTAGTCATTATTCATCGTTATTATTGTCATCGTCATCTCTAATGTCATTGTCGTTATCATCATCAACATTGTCAATATCATTATCATAGCCATTATTATCCTCCTCTTTCAATTCTCTCCTCTTCCATTTCTTTTTTTCTATTCCTATTCACTTCTTTTTTCTTTCACATTCCTCTTGCTTTTACATCCTCTCACACTTTCCACTTCATTTACTTTAGTTTTCCATTTCCTTCTCTTCCAATTTTCCTCTCCCACTTCTATGTTATCATCTTTCTTACACCATCTATGTCACTACAACATGTTGCAAATTAACTGTTTCTTCATCTTCAGTACTTAAATACTTCTTTATTATCTATGTAATTTTAAAATTCTAATTTGATTAAAGATGGGAAACATGACAAGAATTCACCTCATTATGTGTTTATCATCGCAGTTACACCATCTATGCCACTACAACATGTTATTAATCAAAAATTTCTTCTTTAAATTGTCTTCAGTACTTCTTTATTATCTATATAATAAAGAAATACTGAAGATGAATTTAAAAAAGAAATTAGTATTCAGTACTTCTTTATTATCCATATAATTTTAAAATTATAATTCAATTAATTTGTTGAGAAGGATTATTAAGAGGGCGTTTATTCGAGGGAAGTGTTTATTCAAAGGAGGCATTTTTTTAGTGTGTGTGGGTGTATGTGTGTGTGTTACAACTCATAATTACCTTTAAAATATGTTATTGCATGATCATAAAGACTTACTGTTTATTTGAGAGAAGCGTTTATTCCCAATGAGGCTCTGGATGGGGTGTTTATTCAAAGCATGTAGTTTATTCGAATAAATATGGTAAACAAAAACATGGCAAGAATTCACATTATTATGTGTTTTATCATTGCAGTTAAAATTAGATGAGAGCCAGGAGCGAGAAGCACAAGACTTGAAGCAAGATTTACAAAAGGAACTGGAGTTACTAAGTGCATACCAAAGCAAGACCAGAAAACAACTGGAAACTCAACATGCTAAGGAACTCCATGAGCTAGAAGAGAAGGTTTCCCTCAGGAGAGTTATGCTTCAACAGAGGGTAAGGCGCTGTCTACTATTGCTGTTATATTGCGAATGTTAGCGTTGACATAAGGCGCAAAATATATTGATATTAGTCCTACATTTCAATAATAATAATAGCAAGTCAAATCAATTTTTATTGAGCATCTTTGTAGCGTTTCTGCAAATTTTCCACAGATATACAATACTGTAAAAATGTTTTGAAGAAGAATAACTGTATTCTAATTTTTTAAAGAAATTTTATTATGCTAAAATCTAAAAATTTTAACCATTCAATTAAAGTATTGCTCAATTTAAAGGATCAAACAAATTATCGAATAAAATTCACTAGAAAATCTGTAAATTGAAATCTGTTTAATCCATTTACAGTAGAACCCCTCCTTTGGGACACCCCTATTAAGGGTACACTTATTTTGGCTGTGAAGTGAGGAAACACTACGACCAACCCCTATTCAGGGGACACCCCTATTACTGTATTTCTACTGTATTTTCGATTAAAGATTGTATTAATTAACATTGCCATCCTTCGTAAATCATTTACATGTTCTCTTCCTCCAGATTGAAGAAGAAACGGTTCGATTACAGGCAGATAAATCGGAGCGTATTAGAAGGCGTTTGGAAGCTCAAGGCAGTGAAATGACAATGTTTGATGAAGAGAGTTTGCGATTAGGATTCAGTGCCATGTCTGTGGAAGAAATGAAAAGCCAGGATGGAACAACAGACGGAGTGAAACCTTCCCCCTCCAGGAACAGTATGCAGTGGTTGGACAGTTCGTATTCAGCAAACAGTCTCAATACAGCTCTTTTGTAGCCTCAGTCACATTTTGTTGCGCAATCATTCTTCCCTTAATGAAGTTATCTGAGGTCATCAACCTGCAAACCAATGTGGAGTCGTCTGCCAACTTGTGTTGAGTTGTCCACTAAAAGTGTGGCGTCACCCACCAAATTGTGTAGTGTCGTCCGCTAACTTGGTTGCCGTCATCCGCTAATCAGTAAGCTCAGGTTTAGCTGTGTTGTAATCAGAAGCGGTTGGTGTTGTATGAGATGTGATTAGACGGAGTTGACATTTCTTATCTAGTTATTTATCAAACATGAAGCCACTCTATGTACTGTATTTGTATTGCATGTGGTTTTCTTTAGTCTTCAAAAGAAAATATACCCAGAATTTTAGCTGCCAATTTTCAAATTGCTCTAACGATATCCGGTGTATTAGTTCTAATCCTTTAAAAAAAATTTACCAATTAAACATTTAAATCTGAAATGCTTCTATTAACAAAAATCCCTTGCTGTGTGTACATTGTATGTAATGATAGACAAAGTTAAAGCTACATTTCAAAGATACTACCTTCCTTACACTACAGTATCTTTCATCACCTAAACTTAGCAATTAATCCATAAACTTAAAGGATAAACTGAGCAGATAATCCGCAAGTTGATGAGAAAAATAGCAATTAATCCATAAATTTAATGATAAACTTAGTAATTAATCCATAAGTTTAAGGATAAACTTAGCAATTAATCTGTAAGTTTAAGGATAAACTTAGCAATTAATCCATAAGTTTAAGGATAAACTTAGCAATTAATCCATAAGCTTAAAGGATAAATAATTTTTATTGATCCCAATTCTGTAGGAGAGCTGTATAAATTCTACTAATAAGTATAATATGTGGATGTTGTTATTAATCCCTGTTATTTATTGGAGTCCACATTAAGCAAATTGTGTCTTCCACATAAGATATTTACTGGTGTGGACTTAAGTTTACCATATTTCTGGATAGTTTCATTGCTGGATTATCTTAATACCAGATAATCCTATTTGATTTTAATGTGTTTTTATAGCGCATAGTAATAACGTAATATCTATGCGCTTGAGTGAAACTAACAACAATGATAATAAAGATTTTCAACAAAAATATAATAAAATTCTTAATTTTATCATAAAAAACTAATATATTACTTTAACTAAACGTGTCAACAGTTGCCTACCAGGAGCTTATTTATCCTTTGCTCATTTATTATTTTTCTTGCTGCTTGGTGACCATCTCCCCCTCCCCTCGCTGCTAAGATCACTAAATGAGATTGCCAGTAATAGTTAATAACAGATTAACCAATACTCAATAATCCTGTTGCTGAATTAACTTTCTACCAGATAATCCTAATACTGGATAATCCTAATACAGGATAATCCTAAAACTGGATAATTATATTACCAGATAATCCCATGCTGGATAATCCTAATGCTGGATCACCCACTACCAGATACTTGCTTAATTCTCCTTCGACTGAATATCCTAGTTCTAACTAATATTACAGGAATACTACCAAATAGATCTAGTATATATTCTGGATGTTAAGTCTAATCCTTTTGAACTTTCAAACTTATTTAATAATTAAAGTGATTTAAAAAATATCCAACATAATTCAAAGAGAGCAATTACTCATTAATAATGATATTTGTAATGATACAGGCAAAGCTTTGTCCAAATTTAGTACCACATTTTATGGGACATACATGTATTATGATAATTATTATCATGCCCATATAATGGGCATATCACAGATACTTGTCACTGAAAGTTTGATTGTGTTGACTTAAGTATATTTTAGATACAGTACAATAAACAGAGAACAACCTGCACATATTTTGTTTTAGCTGAAATACTATAATATTTTCCTATTGGGCAATTTATCACTTAATGGGTTTTCATAGTTAACCCACCTGACAAATTCCTAACCATACCTGTATGTGCAGTGTGTTTTGAAAAGTGTTAACAATAATCAGTATGAAACAGGGGACAAGTGTTTGAATTTATAATTATTACTACTAGCACAAAAGTATTGATGCCCCTGTATGGTTTATGGACTTTGTTTAAAAAATGTGGATTGGTTGTGTAGAATACAATATAATGTCCTACATGCACTGATACTTGAGATTTGAAACCTATATATAGGCTCCTATCTATAGCTAATGTCCACACTGCCAACTTAAAAAAGCTGCTGGTCCATGCAAGCTTGACCACTAGCAGTCAAACAATGACCACTTGTTTTTATTTTCATGACTACTGAACTTTTCTGCTTGAATACTGGCATTCATATGATTGCTTGCCTATTGTGTCTGACCAATATTTTACACAAAATGGCCACTTGTTTTTACATCCATAACTACTGAACTATTCTGCTTGGTTAATGGCCAAAGGTTGTCATTTATTGTTAACCTCCATGACAACTGGACTATTCCATTTTCCATTCTTAAGTAACAGGAGTGCTACATACCTCTGTATCCTAGTGAAAATATAGACTTGATTGTTGTACTCAGGTGGTGCTTATTCATTGGAGGACAGTTGTGGCGTGTGTCCCAAATGAGGTTCTACGCTGCAGCCTTCCTGGATTACATGAAGGAAGGTGAAGGGCTAGAATTAATGGGAACATTCACAACCGAATTTTGAAATGTACATATAAAACAGAGAGTGTATTGAGTTCAACATAGCGTTGGTGTAGTACAAACCATGTTCTGAATCAGAAAATGCCTTAGTTTTGAACAGAGGAAAATATGAATGTGATTGAAAAAAACAAGTTACCTTCCATCATTGTCTGTGGCTGCTTGGCACTTTATACTCATTATATTAAACCTTCCATAATTCAACATTCTAATTAAAATTAATTTACTAGCTCCTATTTTACCATTTCTAATTGTAGACTCAAAACATATTTCCCTTTTCTTTCTATTGAGCTAGTCAGAAAAATTATGTCTAACTTTATATACTCATCATGTGTGATGTCATTATGACTATATTTAGGCACGTGATGTTTTTGTCAAATAAGATTTGATAGCTCTGACAGGGCTTTGTATTTGGAGCAGGTTGACCCGTTTGTGTGAATGTGGCTTAGGATGTTTTAAATTGAGGGAGAAAAAAAAAACATTACTAATAATTTACTATCTATAAGTGTTTTACTTATTATTCATTTTTCCATTAAATGGATCTTTTTGGGGCGTCGAACTTAACAGCTGACCAATCAGATCAGCACCAGGAATATGCGTTTTAGTTGTCCCATAAATGCAAATGCTTACCTACGTTTATTCTGTTGTTTTTGTAGCAACAATATTCAAGGGGTGGAGCTTAGCAGAAGATCCACTGAGCTACTAAACTTAAGCTCTGTATCCACTCCCTCAATTTTTCTTTGACGTAAAATGGTTGTATGCCCATATATATATAGTCATGATGTGCCTATATATGGTCATGATGTGATGTCATCATGACCATATTTAGGGATGTCACATGTTTTTGTCAATAGAATTTTAGTCTGACAGGGCTTAATGTTCTGTTTACACTATTAATTTTTCTTTGACAAAAGGTGTATGCCCATATATAGTAATGATGTGCCTATATATGGTCATGATGTGATGTCATCATGACCATATTTAGGGATGTCACATGTTTTTGTCAAATAAAATTTGATAGTCTTGTCATGGCTTAAGATATCAGTTAATTGCTTATTAAACCATACATAATGAATCACATATTTATACCATACATTTACTGAAGAATATTTATAGTTCTCTCGTGTTCACCTGTAATGTTAATGCAGCAGATAAACATAAAACAAATGTAATAACAGTCCACTACTAACAATATATAAATGTTAGGCTCTTAATATTTTTGTTTGCTGTTTCTCTTAAGTTATGTTGCTCTATGAAGTAGTTTTAATAATTCTTCTAAACATTATTTGCTCTCAAGTTTTTCTTGTTGTTAGCCATTGTTTTAAAATATTGTATTCATATTTTCATGAGAGTTGTACCTGCGAAAACTTAGTACCCAATGATGAATAATAAAAACCGATATTTCAATTAGTTACCAAAGAATTGCTCACAGTAGCTTGTATTTTTTCACATAATGCATTAACCATTTAAATACCTCTTTAAGTTTATATCCAGAATTTCTCTCTAAGATTTATTGTTTTGAATCATTATTGGTATTAATTGTAATTATTACCTCATTGTTAATATTTCATATCTTATAGATGCTGAATTTATTTGCCTTCCCGTATATAACACTTCCCAAATTTATTTAAAGTCAAATTATAGGTGATGTTGGCCGATTTTTGGGGTTTTACCAGGTCTTGTTCTCGTACTTTTCCTTAAAAAGTCCATGGGTTGCTTAATAAGTAGATACATGTAACCAATGTAGCCAAAGCATTGGATAAGCGTTAGTACAACCATGGTACAACGAGGGATGTAACTGAAAAAGCGCCCTCATAAGGCATGTCATTGCAAAAATTCAGTAGTAGCTGCTGGTTTGTTTTTTTTTTTTCTTTTCCTAATTTCGTTCTGGACATAAAACTGTTGTTGAAGTTTGTGTCTATGTATTAATTGAATCAAATGTTTCCCACAAAAGCAACTAAAACTGTTGTCATCCCTACTATTGTTGCTAAAGAATTATCTAATACTATTAATATTTCTGTTGTCATTGTGATACAGTTTGCTTTGGAAATATATGTTGCCATAGTGACTTGTTGCTATGGATATATATGTATCTATGGACATTATATTTTAATTGTTTTTATTTACATAAATTATTCAGGGTATTTAAATCATTGGAAGCAACAATTCCAATTCATATTTGTTAATATATGTTTGTGATTTTCATATTTAATATTCAAACCACTTACTTTTCTTGGCCTAAGGTTAAAGGGTTAGTTTCATAGGAAAACGTGTACATATAGCATATACAGCCATATATTTACCAGGTGATATGTAACATGTGATATCCCAAATGTATAGCAACTACCCTGGACTTGCGGGGTTATGTTAAATTCATCTACATTTTGTACAAAGCTATATTCCAATGTAACTAACGATCAGTATATGTTAACCAATCTTTTAATTTCCCAACAAAAGTTTTATTACTAAACTCTGTTACCAATTCGTTATCATTTCTGAGGAGAGATGAGTGAGAAAGTACAGATCCATTAAATGCATTTTACACTACGATTTGAGTTTTGAATTCTGTTTTAAATCAGTACAAAAGTAAGCAATCAATCAATTATTTGCTGCCTATAGTATATGACCTTTGGACTGATAGTAAATCGTGTTTTATTGCAGAATAATTAATGATATTGATATAAAGTTACACTTTATTCAATATTTATTATTCAAAATATATTTTCCATATTCAACAAATGCGGATATGGCCTTTATAAATTCATAAATATCTGCGATAGATAATAATAGTGATACACTGTATAATCAATGTTAATATATTTTATTCAATTACTACAAGTAAAATAACAAAGATAAAAGAAACGAACTGACAGGAAGCAGTTGTCCTTGGAATATGGAATCAGCATAAATACATAGAAGCACATGCAATTTGTATTGTTTTTCACATTATATTCTGAATGCGTAGCGAATAAATAAAAGTATACATTTGCATATTTATCTATTAAAAATGATATGTAAAATATAGCGCATTGTGGTCAGATCCCATTGTACTCGTCGTTTAATACAGACCTTGCTGTAACTTCATTAATCTGGTAAGCGATCATTACACTTGTTTTACAATTTGTTTGAATACAGTGCCGTATTTATTCAAATAAACTCCCCCGGGCGTTTATTGTTGAAAAAGTTTTTTGAGGGGCGTTTATTTTTTAGGTGTAAAATGGATACGTATGTACTCAAATAAACGCCCCCTAATTTCATTGTAAATATGGAACTGCAACACATAATTACAAGTAGTGTATGTACCATCAAAATGTGTTATTGCATGATCATGAAAACTTATTAACCCCAACCAGGTTAGAAACAATGTAATTGGAGAATGATACTTCCATTAGTTTTGTTTATAGACATTTAGAGGGCTTTTATTCGAGGGAGGCGTTTATTCCAAATGAGGCTAGGGTGGTGGTAGGAAAGTTTATTCAAAGTGGGGCGTTTATTTGAATACGGTAATTACTTGGTGTTGGTTAAATACTTGTGGTGCACAACTCTGGTTTAGAAAAACAAATCAGGATTTGTTTACATGCTACCGATTTCTTCTATTTATTGTGAAAGAAATCTTGCAAGCTACAATTCTCTCTCTTGGCCGGCCAGTGTGTTTTGATAAGAATTATGATTATGAGTTGCAACTTTGATCAGTCCATGCGGAGAAGTCCTGGAACTTGCAGCTACTGTATTAGACTGACCACTTGCTATATCAGCTCCACTGCAAAGACGGAAGTGGGAACCTCTACGTGCCGGTGATCGACTTTATGGCAGTGGCGGGGGAGGAGTGAGGGAATCATCCTCCGTTGGACAAGCCTGGACCCCCTTCCCTGTCGTGACCCCCTTCCCTGTCGTCCGACGTCACGACGTGGTCGTTGAAACAGAAGTAATAATTTGCCTATCAAATTAACGTTATTTGGATTGCCAATCCTTAATATTGTGGTCTGAGAGCACAATTTGGGCCATACTAAAAGTCATAAAGACTCTCCCTTGTATTCTACCAGGGATTTTTATTCTGGGACCCTATCAAGGCTCTAGTCGGCCCCTTGGTTCGGACTCCCTGTTGTCATTGGCACATTTCTGAAGTCACTGCTGCCCTATAGTACAGCGTTTGCTTAAGCTGTCACTGTTGTGTTGTGGATGAGTTTGTATTCGTCATAAAGTCCTCCGTTATCATATATCAAATCAGATAAATGAGGAATAATAATCGGCTTGTCAAGTGTATTGACAGATCAGGCTGTCTCTTATACACATCTAGATGTGTATAAGAGACAGGTTTTATTACTAAACTCTGTTACCAATTCGTTATCATTTCTGAGGAGAGATGAGTGAGAAAGTACAGATCCATTAAATGCATTTTACACTACGATTTGAGTTTTGAATTCTGTTTTAAATCAGTACAAAAGTAAGCAATCAATCAATTATTTGCTGCCTATAGTATATGACCTTTGTTACATATTAAGGAAAAAAAATTATATATAGGCCTATATATGTATATATATGTATAATATAATATAATATAATATAACATAATATATGCAGTAATATAAGAAAAGTTATGATTATGGCCGAAAACTCCTGTTTCGGTAAACTGTAATCTTTAAAACATTAGAGGCTGGGCCGGCCCCTCTTCAAATCTGCCTTGAATCTGCCGCTGATTACTGAACTACTAGGCCTATTGCTGCTACACTACTGCTGGTACTATACAATATTAAATAGTTAAATTTCTTGACGTTTGGGCCTACAACTGAATTTCATTTAGCAAATAAAAACAGGCCTGTTCTTTGCCTTGTGGCGAGCCTTGTACAGCAGGGCGAACATGTTTAAGAAGGGCTGAAGGTGATTATTCCTGTTCATCTATTAACAAATAAGGGTTTCTATGCTAATAATAATATAATAATAATAATTATATATATATATATATATATCTTATATAGTGTTTATTATATATAATGATATATAATATATGATTATAGTGATATTGATGATCATGATAATAACGACAATGATAACAATAATAATAGGGCAATAATGGCAGTAGTGTCAATTAATGTATGACAGTTTTAAATCGCAACAATATCCCGATGACGATAAAGTA